AGACTCACTGTATTGCCCACGCTGGCCTTCAACTTTAATCCTCCTGCTTCAGCCACCACACCCAGCTCTGTAATCTTTTTACTGAATGAATGCATGAATAAAAAAACCATATTTGCTTAGTATTATACTTTACAGTATAAGCATGCATCCGTATAGGTGCTCCAAAATTATTTCTGGTTCATGTAGTCTTGTTCTACAAGAGAGTTGAAGCAGGAAGCCTGGGTGGTTGTTGAGAGTAGCTTGCTAGGTTCTGAAGTGGTGGCCTGGCTGCAGAGGGCAGAGCTGGGGTGAATCTTGGTGCGCTGTGTATGATCAGATAGGTGTGCTGGGTGCTCATGGGCATCACTGAGTGTGACTTAGACACTTTCTGCACCTGCTGGTGCTGCGCTGCTGGTTCCAATCAAATCTGCCTCGGATGCAGCGCTGCTTCTGATTTGGCTGGAGTGTGTGGGACACAGCACGAGTCAGAGGTGCTGGCTGTGCGCTGCAAACCCGCAGGCCAGAAACTCAGCACTTCCACACCCACCTACGGCAGCTGCGAGGGCTGTGTTCCCACCGGTGCAGGCAGTCGAGAGCAGCACCAAATGTGATCTGGTCCTGCATGAGAATTCTCTATGGCTATGGAGCAAAGGCCACCCCTCCATTAGGAAAGCGCCTGGAATCACGTCCTGCTCTCTGTCCTGCACTTGCTGCTGGCTGGCAGATGAGGAGGACAGAACCGTCCCTAATGTTCACGGTGTCTGAGGGGCGGAGTAGCTGCTCCACTCCCATCCATCAGTGAGCTGTGGTCCTCTCCTGGCCAACGGTGACTCTAATCGCCATGCTCAGCCTTTGTGAGACCCCTCTTCCACCTCATCTGTGTGATGGAGGGACAATCACTGTCCAGATTCTGCCTCCAGATGAGAACACCGACCTTTCCCCAAAACCTCCCCTAGGGACAGGAATCATGTGCTAGCAGCAAATGGCACTTAGGTTTTGGGGAGGAGGAGAGGTTGACGTGTGCTTCCATCCAGAGGAGCTCCCCGTGGCTGGGGAGGCACAGCTGTGGCAGCCACACATTGCAAATTGGTTACTAACCGCAGTGGAGAAGTGCTCCCCAGGCTGAGGAACAGGAGGCTCTGAGGGGTTGGGGAGGTCCATGAAAGGATGCACCCCTGCATGGGCTGGGTGGCCATGGGATGAAGGGTCCTTGTGAGCCAGGCAGCCAGGGGAGGCAAGTAGCAATTCCCAATGGGGAGACACTGAAGGCACATTTAGTTCCTGAACGATGGCGTGTGTATACCAAGCACTTAGAGTGTAAAGCTAATCAAAGTGATCCTTCCTCTTATGAACTATGAAAACCATGCTGCAAACCCTATTTAGGCTGAGGGACATTTGTATCATCTAAAACCAGGCAGTAGGCTACCTCGCGTGGCAGGGGAGTCAAGGCCCTGAAGTCCGCTGAGTGCCTGGAGGTAAACAGAGGGAGGCCCTGGCGTTTGTGCTTGGCTCTGCACTTGGGCTCAAGCTAAGGATTGGTTTCCCCAGAATTTTCTCAGATGTGGGGTCATTTCAGTGAGTGCCCTGAGCACCTGCTAGTGTTCAAGGGAACAAGGCAAGCTCGTGGGTGCCTGTAGTGCTCCTCCCAGGCAATGGGCTAGGTGGGTCCCCCTCCTGTGGCACTGGGTTCTCACCTTGGGAGCTACACCCACTGTGCAAGAGCCAATCACAGGGCTTCAGCGACAGCTCCCCACAGAATGCTGGCATGTGAGGGCTGCTTGCTGCGGGCGATGGTGTGGATACAGTAAGGGTCCATGAGTGCAAACGGGACCCGGGCTAGATGCCCTCTGGGGGAGGGTGGCATAGAAAATCAGAGAGGATGAGAGGTCAGGAAGCTGTAGGACAAAGGCCAGCCAGTGCCACGGGGAGGGAGACTCGAGCTAGAGGCGGCCACTTGGTGGAAGTGGACCGGGAACTACACAAGACCACCTTGCAGCAGAGGTGAAATGGTGGCCACAGCCTCATCCCAGCCCTGCAGCTTCTGAAAGGTACCTCGAAGATCAGCCAGAGTGTTGGCGCAATGACACCCACATCCCTCCAGCCCCCTCGCTCGGCTTCCGCTGTGGAAGAGAGGCCGTCCTCTCCCGTGGGCTGCATAACTCCTTGTTTCACTTTTCCTGCCTGTTAGGAGCTCAGGGTGGCTTCTTCCTGGCCTTTATTCCTCTTCTCCTCTGTGACAGCCCCCTGTCACTCTGTCCCACATCTTTTGTGGCAGGTGGATATTCATGATCTAGCTCAGAGCAGCAAAGAGGACAGTGCAGGTCAGTGAAACCAACCTTCCGGTTGCCCCAGGCTCCTCCAGGCACAGCCTGGCACCTGCTGGGTTAGGCTGTTGAGTCCGGTTACACTGATAACAGTTGGATGAAGACACATTAGGTCACAGTTAAGCTTAGAATGGGGTTTCTCTTTCTCTCTATTGTTGAAGAGTCTGCTTACTTCTACCTCTAGACTCATCACAGCAAAACATCTACACGGCGGCAGGGATATTTTGGGGTTGACACACATGTAGTTAGACGGAGAGGCTCTTTCCTGGAGCTAGCAGCATCTGCAGCATGTTCGTCCTTCTGTCCACTTACCCCATGTGGAGGGGCCAGACAGGGTTTGCTCAGTCCCAGATCTCCCCTGCTGCTCCTTTTCACTGTATTCCTATCCTTTGTAGCGGAATCATTTTTTAAAAATCCACAGTTACCCTTCACTCAGGGCTGCAAGCTTGCTGAGTTTTAGTGGGGCATCTGGCCGCCAGCTTCCGGCAATATTCCCTGGCCTCTTTTGTGGCCACATGGCAAAGTCTCCATGTGAGCAGTGACTGTTTGCAGCATCTGTCACATGGGCTTGAATTGCTGGCCTTTATCTTCTCTTTTGCCTCCTTCCAGCTCCAATGCAGATACTGGTTGGTCTGCTACGATGGCTTCATCTGCACCCTGCTGCCCAGCAATGACCGCTTAGAGCTCCCAGGAAGGCAGGAACCATAGTGTGCTGAATGAGTCTCTGTCACTCAGTTCTCTAGTGACCTCCCTAAGTAGGGATTTATTGTCCATTTCACAGATTGTAACCTGGCTCAGAGTGAGGTGTCTTGTCCAAGATGGCCTGGCTGCCCATGACAGAGGACCCCAGCTCAGCTGCCAAGTGTGCCCACACGCACATTCCTGGTCCCTGCCCGCAGGGTCTCTGCGTGCTCCCGTCCACCGCTGTTCACTGCTTTTCTATGAGAACGTTCCAAGTGTTCCTCTGCCACCTTCACGTTCCGGTCTGTCTGCACTCCTGTCTGCTCGGCGTGGTACAGATGACTCATTCCACCCTCCTTTTCTGTGCTTTGTTTTGTTTTGAATAAGCTAACCTTGCGTTGTTCCTAGACAGTACATCCCTGAGGCAATGGGCAGAAGTGCAAAATAAATGACAATTAAATATCTAAGTGGATAAAAACTGTCTGGCCTTCCAGAAGGACTCAGTGTTCTCTAAGGCAGTGCTTTTCTCGTGGGCCCGTGAATTCTGCTGAGTGAGTCAGTCCTGAAGAAACAGTCACGGCAGCAGCGTGAGTGAGAAGAGGACACTGAAACCATGATTTAACAAGAAGCGCCGCTCCTCCTGCTCACCTCCCTAAATGGAAGTGGGTGGAACCCAGAACTTTGCAGGGACTGTCCAGGGACTTTCCTCACTGTTAGACTCATGATCTTTCTGCCAGGTACGAGTTAGGGTCAATAAAAAAATAATGAAAGGTGATCTGCAGCAGCAGCAGCACCAGGCAAGGTGTGTTGTGCTTTAACACGGTGGGATCCCGAAAGTGGGCTGCTGGGGACCCGCACGGTGACTCTTGGCCACTGAGACCCCAGCACTTTCCTAACCTTTCCCTCAAGCATTCTTGAAACTGCCTTCTCCTCTCAGAGCTCTCTTAGGGATACAAGTGCCCCTCAGGGCAGCCGTCAGGTCAGAGGTGCAGGTAGTTAAAGACTGGGAGAGAGTAGAGGCTTTAAGGCGTGACCTGCCTGCCCTCTTGAAATCCTTTTCCAGATTTCATGATTCAGCTTCCCTTTCCACTGACTGGTCATAATTCAGCAACGCCTTAGCTACATAGATTCCCAAATAAAATTAAGATTTTGCGCCACATTGGGAAAAATAGGAAGTGAGCTAAGTGTTGAGTGGACTGCTTTGCCTTCTACTGAGAAAATTCCTGCCATTCTGGATGAGTTATTGACACATTCCTACCTTGGGTCCAATGTCTGTACTTGTTTATAAATACGTTTTGATTGGAACAGAGGCATAGGCCGCCTGCGTTCATTTCCACAATGTCTGTAGCTGACTTCCTTACACCGGCTGGCTACCCCGACACTGGCTGGCCCACACGACTCCTGTGTCTACCCCCTGGTCCTCCAGGGGAGAAGTTTGCCAGCTCCGTTCTGGTCTCAGTGGCTTCTGACTCTGTGATTCCTAACAGGGGAGCTCTCAGCTTGACGCGGATTCAGGAGCGAACAGTCCGAACTGGTGACAGACTGAACAAAAAGGGTTTATTTCCAGCACATACACGGTTCAGGGCTGGTGCCAATGCTCAACGATGTCTTTGAACCTAACCCTGGGTTTTCTTTCTCCATTGCAATACCTGGAGTGTTGGTACTAGGCTCCTGGCTTCCAGGGAAAAATGGCTCAGTACCCAGAATCCCGTGTGGATCCAAGAAACATAGGACTGACCCTTTCTAAAAGCCTTTTCCCAGCTCCTCAGTGGCTAGGCCTGTGCTCTGACTTGGCTAGTGGCTCAGGATCCTGGGATGTGGATAGCTTGGAAATTCTGCAGAAAATGCATAGTGGGGGACCTCAGTGGATGGCATCTATAACCCCGGGCTCCTGGGAGCTGCCTCGCACCCTGCAGCCCCCTCTCATGCCTCATCCCCCGCTGCCTCTCCTCTTCCCCACCCTGTCGCGGTCCCTGGCACTAATTCCTCTCCTCTCCTGCTCTCCTGTTTGGCCAGGTGAGAAGGCCGGCAATGAGCCGGAGGAGGTGAAGCTGCAGGACGCCAGCAGGCAGATCGTGCAGAGGGCCATCCTGCAGGCCCTGCAGCAGGTCTCCAGGGAGAGCAAGCGGGCGGACGACAGGGCCAGCGACAGCCGCGGGCGCTGCCAGCGGGGCGGGCGCGAGCTCACCAAGAAGCACGACAAGAAGTAGCCGAGTGGATGTGGCTCCCGTCCCACGCGGTCTCCAGCCTGCCTGTTAGAATAGGACACGCTGCCAAAATGCTGCCAGTAGAGGAAGCCAGAGCGTCCCGGACGCCTCGCCCTAAGCTGAATCCTGCTCGCCCTGGACCGGGAGCAGCACTGTTGTGCAGAAGTGGGTCTATCGATGACCTGGTTCGCACCCTGCCGGTGCCTCTAACACCGCGGGGCCTGGTGCCGCATGGGCACCACGAAAGTAGTTTTGCATCGTAATTTTGGAGGTTTTCTTTTAAAAGAGGATTCCTAGTCCTGTTTGTTTACTTTGCCTTTTACATGCTTTTTCTGTGAATTCAACCAGCAGGTTTCCTCTCTTTTCTCGTTTTCTGAAATACTGCGCGCGATTTTGTGTTCTTTATAAATATCTTTAAAATGTATACTGGAAAGGCCAAGAAATGGAGCTTTAGCTGCTTTGAAACACAGAACTGAAGGCTTCTGTGAAATGAGACCAGGCCCAGACCAAATTAAGCAAAGACAAATCCTAAGACCCAGTTCCTCGGGGTCTCAGGCATATGTTTGTATTACTTAGAAAAGAGGAGTCTAGGCTTTTAAAGACCTTGATCTTTTCATCTCAGTGCTCTGAACGATTTCATGGTTGCTGTTTACCTTCTGTGCAGAGATCCACTGGGAATAGTATGGATTTCTTTTTTCTGTCTCAGAGTTAAATAAAATAAAGCAAGCGAGTGTAGATGCATGAACTGATGGTAATTCATTCAATTTTTCAGCAGTCCCACAGAGAACAACTAAAACTCTGCAAACCTAGGCCCATCCTGGTCCTGGGTGTTCTCATCCTCAGGTCTCACTGTGGCGTGCAACATCCTTGGAAGGAACTCTGGGGTCTTATTCATGTGCTACGTCATTGCCAGGCTGTGGGTCTGTGTTAAGACCTTATTAATGCAACTTGCCTTTGCCCACACACAAAATTAGAATTTTTAGTTTGCCACTATGTAAGAACCATACAGGTCAGGAGCAACCTGTAAAATGGGAAAGCCAGTTTTTCAGCTCCTTGAAACATCAAAATACAATACAATTCATAAAGTGACAGCATTGTAGAAGCATTTACAGAGGTGCATGTGTGTGCGTGTGTGTGTGCAGGTGTGCAAAAGCAACATGACTTCCTGCTCCATTCCAGTGCATATCTTCCTGGAGTCTTCTACAGCTCCATTTCCTGTGCTTCACAAAAGATATTGCCCCTGGGGCCGGGGAGAGAATTTAACCTCTGTTACAAACGCACAGGCATCAGCTTATCAATGTCTGCAGTTAATAGTTCTCTGGTTTTTTGACGGTTAGCAGCAGCATATATAATGCAACTAATAGTAAGACATGTCTAAAATTCCAAAGTGTTATCATTTCCAGAATGGATGCTATGGCTCACCTCAGATGAACGAGAAGGATTCCTCATCAGTTGTGGTAGACAGTCCTCCCCAGGTGGAATAAATTAATTCAGGAGCAGATGGGGGAGGGAGGAAGCCAAAGGGGCCAAAGCTGAAATATTGCTTATCCAAACATGTTTTTAGCAGATCTTGTGATGGTATGAGAATGAATTTAAAGTGACTTAAAGTCATATAATTGACAGGATATAAATTCACAGTGAAAATAAAGGTCTGCAGGAAAGTTATTCAGGTGAACCCACAAATAAGAAGGGAATAAAAAGAAGTAAGATGTATTAAGTGTATGTCCTGATTCCTTAAGGTGAATATAAACAGCAGGTACTGGAAACACGCACTAATGAAAAATAAACAACAGTAATACAGAAACAAACTTAATGCTTGTAGTCTGCCAGTGATCTGAATATACCCGGCCGTGGACTTTGCTGTTAGGTGGCAGAAACATGTAAACATGCTATCTTTCCTCTCCAGTGTGACTGTATTAGTAGACTGGGGATCCTCGGGAATGTCTTATTAATGTCTGAATCTAAATATTATTTATAAATAAAATATATCCTGCTTTGAAACATGCCGTTCTAAGTAAGGTCTTTCTACGGCCTGCTGCTTGGCTCATGGCGCGTGTGTGTGGCTCCACCAGCATACGGCACCGTGGTGCTTTGCGAGGGTCTGGTCTTGGAGACATGGCTGTCAGGAACAAGGTAAGGGCTTCTCCTGTGGATCGACACCACGGCCATCTGAAGATGCTGCTTCCCAAGGTCGGCATGGAAGTGGACGTGTACCGTGAAGTGGCCTTGTGGTCTCAGCAAGGATGGCTAAGTGGATATGGAAGTTCAAGTATCCATTAGGATTTTTCAGAGTCACGAAGCCAATAGCAAGGGACAGAGGTGTCGATAATTTCTTGAGAGCACAGGAGGAGGTTCAGCACCCCCAGTACCCAATGAGTAGGTGCCATATTGACAGAATCCAAAGAAAACGCAGTCATAAAAAAGCAAGCCTCTCAGTGCAAAGGAGGGGCACTGGGCTTCACAAGGGGCCGCAGAACGTCATTTGACATGGGATGATGGAGGGTTTCTACTTGGTGTTACCATCAGTTAGCACACAGCTTTTAATATTGGCGATTTGTGGGAATGTTTATTGCATGTCCTTTAGCTCCCTGACTTACTGCAAGGAATTGTATAGTACCTTCCAGCTCTGTGAGTTCAGCTGTTTCAGCTTTTTGCTTTGCCTGTCTCTCAGGCAGAATAAAAAGAAATCCTCTTGTGTTCCTTTGCTTTTCTGCAATCAGCTGGCCAGGGCAGGCGGTACTGCAAATACAGAACAATTTCCTAGCACTAGGGGCTTCATTTCCTTTATTTTTCTCAGTTTCCTTAAAAAATAATTAGCTGCCCAGTCTTCCCTTATGGTGAGATTTCAGGTTACAAGTAGATGAACCAGATATTTAAAAACAATCCTTGGATTTATGCTGTTCAGGGGTGGTTACCTTCAAGGCTGTTTTAAAGTCTTCAAGAAAGAACAACACAGAGAAGAGGGACTTTTTTTAATCCACTGTAGAGACATCCTGGTAAGATGCAGATGCACTCTGACAAAGTGTAGCTCATTTAGCATCTGAAGCCTCAGCCAGGGAGAAACAGCAGACCCTGGAGCACTTTCTTCAGCTCGTGTGAGGAGAGAGTAGAAACGCACTGACGTCTTGTCTTTCAGTGGGGAAGTTTTCTGAAATACATGAGCACACGGTGCCTTGTTTATCTCACTGCCACAACCTCACAAGAAGGAGACAATTGCATTGTTCTTTTTCAGCTAAGGTGGCACTGAGACTCGGGGAAGAGAAATACACCCAGCTGGATAAGAACTAAGTAGCACCAGGCACAAGAACGCCAGACCTCACACTTTGCTAGCACATCCATCAGGTCAAGAGTTTAGGAATATGTATTTCAAGATGGAAGAATAAACTGCCTAACTGAATACTTTTCTGCATAAAGAAATGTAACCCAAATAGCAAAAGGTCCTCACAATTATTCCTCAACAGAAAGAGCTCCACGCCTTTAAACTGAAAAAGAGGTAGCGGTGTCAGCTTCACATAAGTCACTGGCCACTGTGGATCCAGCCTAAGCAATAAGGGAGGGCAGAATGGCTTGTTACTCTGCTGCTAGGTACAGCGGAGCGTGCCTGCTGATCTCACAGATGTGAGTAATTGGGACTTTCACCGTGCACTAGTGCTTGTGTCTGGGGTCAACGCTGGTGCACAGTCTTGCACAAATGTTCCATTAGCCGAGTCATGTGTGCAACCTATGCCCTTGCTTCCCAAGCCATCTGCGTGTCCTCAGTGTCTGCTGTTTTCCAGTGTGCAGATGGCTGCAAACAGCCTCCCTGTCTGCCCGTAGGCTTTTTCTACTTACGTCTGTGTGCTCCGCCTGCAGAAGAGGCCGGCTAGAAGAGTGTGTGTGTGTGTGTGTGTGTGTGTGTGTGTGTGTGTGTGTGTAGGTGGGTGAAGGCCTTCAGACTCCTGCATGTGGGAGCTGGGGCACAAACACCCCAGCCCCTGGCCCCTCGGCCCAGCTGCCAGGCACATCCTGCAGTGTCTCTGAAGTGGCCCCTTCTCGTTCCTCACTTCTCCCTCGGGGAGGGGTTTAGGATGAGTCCCTGGGTGAACTGCCCCTGCTCAAGTTCTTGTCTTGGGATTCTCCAGGGGAACGAGACCTAAGACAGTGGTGTTTTGGAACTTCCTATCACAGGAAATCGAAGTCACTGATGCCTGTGTCTTGGGGCACCATAATGGAGCCAGCCCTCGGCACAGTCAGCCTGCCACTGCCAAACATGAGCCAAGACTGGTGTCTTTCCAAACAAAGTGGCAGAGTGCGAGTGGTACATGTTAATTTTATTACAGATATCTTGGCTGTCTTGTGATTCATTTATCTCAGTTCTGTTTTCTAAGATAGTTAATTTATAGCCATCACATCCACATAAATATCAAACTGGCCCCGGGGGCTGCAGTGTCAGGGGACAGTGAAAGAGAAGGTATTTGCAGGACACACGACCTTTGAATCCAAAGAGCTGAGACTTGATCATGGGACGCACATTTCAAGCCTCATACAGTGCCTTCCCTGCCAAAACTGAGTACTTTGGGCAAGTTTTGGGATAGAGTCTTCTTCCCTTTCCATTTATTTATGATTTTGATTATATTTAAAATTAAAAGTTGCCCTTTGAAATCTGGAAAAATAAATTCATACATGTATATCACTTGCTTCTGGCTTTGAACGGCTTCACAGTTTACCAAAAAAAGCAGTGATGTTGGGTTCAAGTCAGGGCTGAGCCAAAGATCTCGGTTTCAGCTCCGGGTACAGACCTGGAAACAGCTGTGCTAATCTTCACAGTATTGGTCACCAGGTGCAATCTCCTCTCCGTGTTTTATAATTTAATTTCTATTCCACAGGAGACTATAGGCTTTGTAAAAGCAGGCAATGTTTGACCCGTGTAGAAGTGGGCGGGCACTTGGTAATTACTTGTAGAATCAGCGCATGCATTGTCTGTAGGAAATTAACAAGTTTCCTGATTCTCTGGAGCACCATTTTCCCCATCTGTGAAGTATAAGTTGGTGGAGTAATCACTAAGTTATTTCTTGTTCTAAAAGTAAATGATTCTGTGTGTTTTGTGTTGTTTTTTGAGGTTTCCTTTAAATGTCCAGTTGATGATTTTATTGAGACAGTGTTTTGCTGAGTCACCGAGTGGCCCAGGTTGGGCTCAAATTTGTAATCTTCTTGCCTCAGCCTCCCATAGTGCTGGGATCACAGGAGTGCACCACCAGCTGGCTGAACTTTTGCATATGAGTGTAGCCCAATAAGCATCACATTTTGACCACCCCAATAAGTTTCTTATGTTCCCACCTTTGTTAACACCCCAAGTTAAATAATACTAAAGGCTACATAAAAGCAGATTAGTTTTGCTAACTTTTAAACTTCATATAAATGAATCAATGTATATTCTCTTCTTTCTTCTTATTCCCCTCTGAATATCATCTGAGAGGTTTTATTATACATAAAGGTAATTTTTATTTGCTGTGTATTTGATTATATAAATATAGAGTTATTATTATTATTTGTCTTTTTGAAACAGGGTTCTGCTATGCAGTTCAGGCTGGCCTTGAGCTCACTTTTTAGCCCAGGCTGGTCTCCAATTTGCAGTGGTTCTCCTGTCTCAGCCTACCAAGTGCTGGGATTATAGGCATGTACCACCATGCCTGGCTAGTGTTACTTATTTATTTAGTCTATTTTTATTCAGTCTATATTTATTTAGTGAATATTAGAGCTCCTTCATATTTGGCTATCAATAAAGCTCCTTTAAATACCTTTGTATGCTTCTTTGGAAAGGTACATACCATCATTTTTGGGTGAATATATAGAAGTAGAATCTTGGGACCATCGCGTGTATGTATTTAGCTTTCTATATTCTGCTGAAGAGGTTTCCAATATGGCAATACTAATTTCTTCTGCTACTAGCACTATTTGAGAATTTTACGTGATTGGTGTGTTTATAGTCTATCGCTTCTAAAGAGAATTTGTTTCCTAAGCATCATGACATTATGGGAAATTCCAATCTGATTTTCAAAGTTTCACAGTTCAGCAAAAGGACTTGAGGGAAATTGAGCTCATTTTGGACATTTCATGCTTCCTTTCAGTTCATCTGTCTTTTCTGGTCTTGTTTTCATGAAGTCTCCACCAAGCATCAACCAAGGCGACTTTGCTCTTCTTTGTTACTCAGGAAGGATCACCCCATCTGTGTTCTAACTAACTACTTTCTATTGAGCACACTCTCTGGAATGCTTTCCTGGTAATCTATTTTTTGGGAGTGGTTTCTGCAGTAGGAACATCAGGCTACATCCTTCTCAGAGGCAGGAATCCTGTGAGTCTATCAGGCATATCGGTGGTAGTTAACTGTACAGATCAGATTTATGATTCTGGGAACAAATATCAGAGCGATCCTCAATTTCCCCTTTGATTTGCTTCCCTCTGATTTGATTTGTCTCCATTGGTAACACTGCAGACAGCCTCGAGTAACTGCTTATTCTACTGATTTTGTTTCTGACAGAACATGTTCTACAGTTCTACAATGGCAAGATCAAAGTTACTTAAAATTATGTGCAAATGGGTAATAGAGGAACCCAGAATCACTTATAATTCTTATATATTCTTTTATATTCTTCATCCTCTTATGTTCTTCATCCACCTTTCTGCAATCCTCTCCCTATTCCTTCCCCAGCAGTGTCCTTCCTGTCTCCACTGTGCTTCTGTGTCCTCCTAGACGCTAAGCAGGTCAGGCCCAGCTGCAAAAGGAGAAGGGATTGAGAGAGGAAGAGAGACAGAGGTGCAAATGGGTGCGGAGCACCTTTCCTGCTCAGTGTAACCACATGCATATGTGTGCGTGTCTGTACTCACGCACATGCCTGTTTGCACGTGCTAGAGTTCCCTAGGTCCAAACATGAATGTTCAGGATAAAATTAGGTCCATTTCTTGGTCTTGGTTTTAAGTGAAAAGTAAACGTATTTTTTAATAATTCATATAGTTACTGAAGG